TTTACATTGTTAATTTAACTATTACTTTAAAGTAATAGATTTTGAAATTCCAAGTACCGGTACTTATGATTTACGTGTGTATCTTCTATTATTTGACATTATTATTAAAAGATCTAGCGTTTAATTCTCAAGAATTTTTTGTTGCATTTTGTTGCATTTCCCGTGTAGCACCCAAATCATAAGTTCGATATGCTTCTGATGCTTTAAATGTTATAGAATCAAATAGATCACCTTCGAGATTTTAAATATGTAGTTGCTTCTACATCAGTTATGTTTCTCTTATATGGTTTTGGTTTACGATTCTCCTATCTTCGTGAGCTGGATGAAATAGATACTATCCGGATGACATTTGTCGCATATCCAATCTTCCTACTTGTTACTCAAAATTATGATGGTCGGGATTTCTCTCGCGTTTTATTTAGATTGATTACTCCAATTATATAACGACATTTAATCTCCGAAGCGTTGTTGGTTGATTGGTCAGGATTTTATATTTGAGGATTTTTGAAATATCAATACTAGTTATTAATGTATTTTATATCTGCCTGCAAATGTATCGATACAAAGTATCATTTTTTATAATCTTGACAACAAAGTTTCCATACTTAGAATTTCTAAACCGGTTAAAATTTGAGAAAACGGCAAAAATTTTAAACAATTAATTAAATATAACATATTAAAAATGGACACAACTGGTTTTTATAATTACGCCTATAAAGTATCGGTACCTAAGAAACATGTATAGATACATGACAATATAAAAGGTTGAAAATTGACGAAATTGGTTTCAATATAAATAACTTAAAGTATCGATACACGTATGAAAAGTATCGATTCTTAAAACTTCGAAACCCATTACTTTAAAGTAATATGTAAATATAAAATGTAAGCTGTAAAAATATACCGGTTTAATGGTAAAATACTTTTATAAAAAGTATCGATACTTTTGGTATATATATCGATACTTTTTTCCAGTATGCTTCCCAAAACTAGATGCACGTAGGAAGTATCAATACCTATGACACATGTATCAATGCAAGAGAATATAAAACGTTAAAAATTGATAAAACCGGTTTCAATATGATAAAAATGGTAAATAGCTACCAGTTTTGAAAAAAATGAAACGTCTCGAAAGTACCGATACCGTACATAAAAGTATCAATACTTATGTAAGGGTAATGGTATCGATTTTAAAATAACATAACAAGTAAAAAATTGAGAAAATCGATATCCATAATTGAGCCTATAAAGTATCGATACACGTATGAAAAGTATCGATTCTTAAAACTTCGAAACCTATTACTTTAAAGTAATAGGTAAATATACAATGTAAGCTGTAAAAATATACCGATTTAATGGTAAAATACATTTATATAAAGTAACGATACTTTTGTCCAGTATGTTTCCCAAAACTAGATGCACGTAGGAAGTATCGATACCTATGATACATGTATCGATACATGATGATATAAAAGGTTAAAATTGATAAAAACCGGTTTTAATATACAATGTAACCAGTAAATCGCTACCATTTTTGAAAAAAATGAAACGTCTTGAAAGTATCGATACCGTACACAAAAGTATCATTACTTTGGTAAGAGTATTCAATATAAATAACATATCGGGTTACAAAGAAAACCCTAATCCAGAGAAATATGTAAAAGACGACCGTAGTTTATGAGGGAAGATAGTTGTTCTAAATAGTGGTAACGCATTTTTGGAATTGTAGTTGTTTGTTTGTTGATGCAATCGATTCAAAAGGTATGTTATTGAATCCCTAATTTTTATTATTATTGCAGTCTTCATAAATAGGGGTTGAGTTTGTTGTTTTCAAATTAAATAAACATTTTTTCGCGAAGATGATGACCTTGAAATGGACCTATTATAGGTTGAAAGTTCAATCTTTGTTCACAAAGATGATGACATTCAAATGGTGCCCCAGCGTATTAGCATTGAAGAAAATCGAAAGCAACCACTGTGTGAATATATGTACTTCCAGTAAGTATCAATGTATTCTTGTAATTGTTTTTGAAATGGTAATTGAATTAAAGTATTTAAGAATTTTTAATTATTACAAATTTCAAATCTCTACAGTCTGACTGAATGTCAAAGAATAATGTTGACCGCATAGCCAATAAAACCCCCTTACAGGATCCAAATGGAAAGCTAGAAATTGGTAAGACAAGCTTCCTTTGAGGGTTTAGGTTTAGGGACTGAACCCCTCCCACGTAAGGAGTGCATGATTGAACATTACATATAATATAGTTGTATTCAGTTCTTGAAGAATTGTTCTTCATTGTATATAAGGATAGTTGTAATGGTATCCGTTCACGTTTCGAAACCAATTAGTGGAATGCATGCAGTACCCTATATCCTCAAGGCAGAGTGCAAGAAATCTGACATTTAAAGATTTACCAAGAGTTGTGGCTTCTGCTTTGCATGAAGACCGAACCTAGAATCAACTTTGTCATTATACCTATACTACTAAAGAGAACTTGATGAATGATAGGATTTGCACACAATTACGAGCATTTGATTGGAAACCACAACTACTCTGCTAAAATTCTACAACAGAGATGTTTGGGTAACCCATACTTGGGGTTTCCCATAAAATGCTTGCAGTTGTGTGCAAATCCCTTCATTCAGTTGGTTCTCTTGAGTATTATAGGCATAATGGATAATGGCTATGTTGATTCTAGGTTCGATCTTCATGCAGAGAAAAAGCTACAGCTCTTGGTAAATCTCTAAGTGCCAGATTTCTTGTCTTCTTCCTCGAGGATATATGGTACTGTATGCATCTAACTAATTGGTTTCGAAAGATGAACAAATATCATTACAACTATCATTATATACAATGAAGAACAATTCTTCAAGATCTGAATACAACTATTATATGTAATGTTCAATCATTCAATTCTTACGTGGGAGGGGTTCAGTCCCTAAACCTAAACCCTCAAAGGAAGCTTGTCTTATCAATTCCTAGTTTAACATTTGGACCCTGCAAGGGGGTTTTATTGGCTATGCAGTCAACATGATTAACCTGGATAATCCCAACTATAGAATTGATTCTGGCCACGATTTATGGGAGACCCTATTCTACAGAATATTTGGCAAGGTTCAAGTATACGATACAAGGGAACATATAGAAAGGTCCAAGTATCGATACTCCAAGTACTGGTTAAAAGTAAGCAATTAGTGCATTGACACCCCATTGACGATTTCCTTTGATTTACATCTTTCAAGTGCATTGTAGATGTCTTTATGTGTAAATCCAACATTCTAATAACCCATACTTTGTATAAGTAATAATTAAATTTACAAGGTACACGGTAAAATTATACTGGTGTAATGATAATATCGTAAACTTTTATATATGTATGAATACTTTTTTATATCGGTCTCGATACTTTAATTCCACATGAAGGCTCAAACAATCTGTACGTAAAATGTATCGATATATATATATATATATATATATATATATATATATATTCCATACTTATAATTCTGAAACCTATTACTTTTAAGTAATAGGTTAATTGACAATGAAAATGGTTAAAGTCAATTGGTATCATGAAAATATAAGTAAACAACATACAAGGTAATATGTTGATAAAGCTTGATAACAAATCAAGTAATTAACCGGTTATGTTGTCGTCAAATTTCTAAGGTTCATTCCACTTAAAGGCTCAAACAATCTGCACATAAAATGTATCGACACACACACACCACTCACACACACATATATTCCATATAATTTTGAAACATATTACTTTAAAGTAATAGATTAATTTCCAATGAAAACAGTTAAAGTTAATCGGTATCATTATAATATGCGTAAACAATTACCATGTTGATAAAACTTGATAACAAATCAAGTGATTAACCGGTTATGTTATCGTCAGATTCTTAAGGCTCTATCAGCTTAAATTTTCTTAACATTTAGTTGATAATACTGATAACATAACCTATTTTTTTATCGTTGGATTTCTAAGGCCCCATCAGCTTTAATAATGTGCACCTATTATGTTACATAAGTGCTGCCTAATATGTTATTATGCTTGATAATGTTTACAGTAATTAACCGGTTATGTTATCGTCGGATTTCTAAGGCTCTATCAGCTTAAATTGTGGTAACATTTTAGGCGTTACCTAATATGTTGATAATACAAATAATAAATTAAATAATTAACCTATTTTGTTATCATCGGATTTTCACAGCCCTAAACGCTTTAAAAAAGCGCTACCTATTACGTTACATTAGCGCTACCTAATATGTTATTATGCTTGATAATGTTTTTAGTAATTAACCGATTATGTTATCGTCGGATTTCTAAGGCTCTATCAGCTTAAACTTTGGTAACATTTTAGGCGTTACCTAATATATTGATAATATTAATAACAAATAAGTATTTAACAGATTATGTTATCTTTAAATTTCTAAATCCCCATCAGCTGAAAAAGGCACTACCTATTACGTTATATAAGCATTATCTAATATGTTAATATGCTTGATAATGTTTCCAGTAATTAACCGATTATGTTATCGTCGTATTTTCAAAGCCCCGTCAGCTTTAAAAAGGCGCTACCTATTATGTTATATAAGCGCTACCTAATATGTTATTCTGCTTGATAATGTTTCCAGTAATTAACCGATTATGTTATCGTCTATATTTGTTTGCGCATTTTACATAGGATGATAACATAACTGGTTATTACCGTTTTTATTACCAACTCAAATGATATTTCTAGTTAAATCATATAACATTTACGGTATCGATTTTAACCGATCACTTTTTTAACCAGTCATGCCATTTTTTAGCCTTTTTTAACCGCCTTACAGCAGAACGTCCCTCTACATTGACCATAAGGACTAGAAACACCATACTTAAAAAGTCTTTCTTATTGTTTACGACCAAACCTTCCTACCACTTTCATAAATTTCCCTATATAATTCCCTTTGCAAATCCCATAGGGCGTAGCCAACCCTACTTTAAGATATGGAATTCCTCATTATTTTTCTTTCTCTTGCTTTCTTGGGATCGATCCTATGTTTGTTTCATGAGTTGGTGGTGAAGCCGATGAAACTTCGAGCAAGATTAAGTGAACAAGGAATCAAAGGACCGTCTCCGACTTTGCTTTTCGAAAACATAAGAGAGATTAAGAAGGCACAATCCGTCGTTGTTAGGGATCCTAGCCCGTCGTCCACTCACAACTATGTCGCGCTTCTCTTTCATTTCCTCCAGAAATGGAGGAAACAGTACAATACGTATTTTGCATGCCTCTTAATTGTATATTGAATTCTGTACGTAACTACATACATGCATATATAAATTAGAAAAATGTAACCACTAATATTGGTGGAGTAAATTTCAGGTGAAGTATTTATGTTTTCTCTTGGTAACACTCAAATATTGTTTGCGAATCAACCTGATGCCGTGAAAGAGATTACAACATGCACGTCCTTAGCCTTGGGGAAGCCTTCCTATCAGCAAAAAGAGTTTGGTACTTTGCTCGGTCAGGGAATTCTAACTTCTAATGGGGCACTATGGGCTCATCAGAGAAAAATTCTTGCTCCTGAATTATATATGGACAAGGTTAAGGGAATGATGGACCATATTTTCGAGTCTACATTTACTGTACTCGAGTCTTGGAATACCCAAATCGAGGCTGAGGAAGGACTTGCCGACATCAAAATCGACGAGTATATGCGGAGCTTCTCCGAAGATGTCATCTCTAGAGCATGTTTTGGAAGCAATTATTGTAAGGGAGAAGAAATCTTGTTGAAACAAAGTTTATCCACTGGTGTGCCCGGAATGAGGTGGGAATTCTTTTGCAATTGCAAGTCCTATTGATTTTGTACAATTTTTGTTTCTTGTACAATTAATTTGTATTGAAAATTTTGAGTGATTATTACAGATATCTTCCCACAAAAGGCAACAGAGAAGATTGGGCGCTAGAAAAGGATATACGTGATCTGATCCTGCAAGTGGTAAAAGATAGAAAGATGGCAGCATACGAGGAGGACTTACTGCAAATGCTGGTCGAGGGCGCTAAAATCAGCTATCTAAGTCAAGAAGCCACCGAGCGGTTCGTAATCGATAACTGCAAGAACATATACTTGGCCGGATACGAGACTACCGTTGTTTCCGCCATGTTGGAATGGTGATATGCAAAGAAAGCAGTATTTCTGGAAACTTGCTTTTCATTGCTGAATTACATTCAATTTATACATTATGTGCAGCTGTAGCTAACTGATTTAATAATAGTTTTGCTAACAGACTGCTAACTAACTAACAACTGACCCATTTAGCTAATGCCACGTGTATAGTACAGTTAAAGTCGGTTATAGCTGGCTAAGAGAAGATTTGTTTCTGCTGATGACTTGCTTCTGCTGGACTGCCAACATTCTTCCTACCTCTTCTCGCCTTCTTGTTAAAAAACACAAACGCACACTTTGGATCGGAATTCCTCAAAACCAGCTTGAGCAAGCGGCTTGGTGAATCCATCAGCAGTTTGGTGCATCGCAGGAACATAGCTTACACACAACTGGCCAGCTGCTACTTTCTCACGAACAAAATGAATGTCTAGGTCCACGTGCTTGGACTGTGCATGGTAGACGGGATTAGCACTCAAAGCCACTGCACTGGTGTTATCGCACCAGACAACCGATTCACAATCCTGATGGATTCTGAGATCAGTTAGGAGCGCACTTATCCATGCTATATCGGCTGCTGCGTCCGCTATACTTTTATATTCAGCTTCCATAGTGGATCGGGAAACTTTCCTTTGTTTCTTGGAGCACCAGGTAACCAAACATTTACCTAGGAAAACTCCATACCCAGTTATTGACCTTCGATCATCGATGCTGGCTCCCCAGTCCGCATCAGCGAAGGCAACCACATTCAATCTGCTGCCAACAGGTGAAAATAACAAGCCAAAGTTCAGTTTTACACCTAGGTACCGAAGTATCCTTTTTACTGCAACATAATGTGCTTTTCGTGGAGCTTGCATAAATTGGGCAACTTGAGCCATACTAAACGATATGTCTGGTCGTGTATGACAGACATATAACAGTGATCCCACTATACTTCTATAGTCACTAGCATTTCTTAGAAGCTCACATGCTTCATGAGAAAGTTTGGGCGACACCACCATAGGTGTGGCACATCCAGTAGCTGTTTACATCCCTGTTTTTTCCAATAGTTCAAGCACATACTTCTTATGGGTCAAGAAGAGTGAACCATTGTTACGTTTGACTTCAATGCCCAGGAAGAAGCTCAATTCACCCAGGTCCTTAAGTGAAAAACGTTCTTGTAGCATGGTTACGGCTTCTTGAATTAAGTTAGATGACTGACCAGTGACAACTATGTCATCTACGTATACCAATATATAAACTTGTCCTTCATGAGAATTCTTTACAAACAACGATGGATCAGCTCGAGAAGTAGTGAACCCCATTTGTAAAAGGTTATCTTTGAGTTTCTCATGCCAGTTGCGAGGAGCTTGTCGAAGACTGTATAGTGCCTTATGAAGTTTGCAAACGAGAGGCTTGCCATCCTCATCAAATTGCTCAAAACCAGGAGGTTGACGCATATAAACATCCTCACTGAGATCTCCATTAAGAAACGCGTTATTTACATCAACGTGTCGAAGCTCCCATCCTCTGGAAACAGCAACTGCGAGGACCGTATTGAATGTTGAGAAACGAACTACTGGGTTGAATGTGTCTCGAAAATTATACCCAGGAGTCTGAGAGAACCCCTTAGTAACTAGTCGAGCCTTATATCGAAGAACAGTTCCATCTAGATTTCGTTTGATGCGAAAGATACATTTGCATCCGACTGCAGTTCTTCCTTCTGGTAGTGTAACGAGTGACCAAGTACCATTTTTTAGTAATGCATTATACTCTTCATGTGCAACCACAGTCCAATGAGGGGATCGAAGTGCTGCAGTTATCGTGGTTGGGATATCATCATCCTTAGCAGCCAAGAAAACTCTGGGTTTGAAGACACCACACCTACTATGCATCATCATAGGATGAATTCGTGATGAAGGTCCAACATCACTTGAATTTGTAGCATCATCGGAATTGGCGCCAACACTGGCAGGCTCACTAGTGTTGGTGCCATAGTTTAATGCAGACTCAGCGCCAACAGTAACGGGAACACCATATGCGTGTTCATGAACACTATGATCATGATCAGTGGTAGCAGTCATACCATTGGATTCAGTGGATTCAACATTTCCCAATGCAGAGTTGTTTGAAGTGCCTTCGAACTCGCTGTTCACAGTAGCTTGTATTGCACTGCTTGGGTTATCACGTGTGTTTGAAGGCCTTGTACTCCTTAAGCCTACAACAACTCGAAGAGGCTGGGATGACCAATTTCCTGAGTTTGTAGGTACACAAGAGTTGTATTTTTTTCGGCCTGCAAAAGGAAAAACAAATTCATTAAACACAACGTGTCTGGAAACATAAACTCTTCCATCAGACGCCAAGCACTGAAATCCTTTGTGTCGGGGGCTGATTCCCAGGTAGACGCAGGATTGAGATATGAAGGAGAGTTTGTTTTTTTGAAATGGTCTGAGATGAGGAAAGCATTGACAACCGAAGGCTCTCATCATGGAGTAGTCTGGTTTCTTTTTATATAGCTTCTCAAAGGGAGATATCCCATGTAGAACTTCAGTAGGGAGCCTATTTATCAATTGAACTGCTGAAATAACAGCATAGGACCAGTATTTTACTGGTAGTGATGCTTGGGCTAGCAAGACAAGTGCTAGCTCTATGACATGTCGATGCTTTCTTTCAACGACCCCATTTTTCTCGGAGGTGTGTGGGCATGTCAAGCGATGTGAGATTCCTTCACTCGCCAATACACGTGATAGAGATCGAAATTCACCTCCCCAATCAGTTTGTAGGGCTTTAATTGAAGTACCAAACTGATTTGCTACAATATTTTGAAACATTCAAAATGCCAGCACTGCTTCATCCTTACTTTTTAATAAATAAATCCAAGTGTGCCTTGTGAACGCATCTACAAATGAAACATAAAAGCGAAATCCATTTGATTGCTCATGAGGGGGTCCCCATAAATTTGAGTATACAAGATCAAAGAGATCATTGACTGAAGTATTTGAATCAAAAAAGGGTAGCCTATGGCTTTTTCCCATATGACAGGCTACGCAAAGCTTATTTACATTGGAATGCACCATGATACCTATTTCATTAGTTAGTTTAACTAATGTGTCAGCTGTTGGGTGACCAAGGCGCCTATGCCAGAGGTCTTCTGTCGAGTGGGAAGTTGAGCAGCTATTAACTTCTGCGAGATTAACTCCTAACGAACTGCTGTCCATAGTGAACGAGTATAAGCCTTCATGTTGCTTTCCTTGAAGTAGAGTGGCACCGGTTGCTTCATCACGCACACAACAACTCTTTGCATGAAATTCTAAGAACACATTGTTTTCCCTAGCAAGCTTAGAAACGGAGATTAAGTTCTTAGTTATTTGTGGAACATGCAGTAAATCCTTGAGAAACAACATGCGTGAAGAGGTATTTATATGAGAGTGACCAACCAGGTTAACATCGAGTGGCATGCCATTTCCAACAAGAAGCTTACCTGGACCAAGAAATTCTGTTGAACTCAAGACATTATTAGAGTATGTGGTCACATGGTGTGTGGCACCAGAGTCTACCACCCAGTGATCCGAGGACATGGATGAGGTATTTGCTTGTGGTTGAACGGCTAAAGATGAGGCAGACTTACGTTTGGCGCAACATTCATATCCAGTATCAGAGGGTGAATTGTATGTTGAAGAAGCTGGTCGACGGTCTGACTGATTGGATCCACGAGTTGATGCAGTTACACATGAAAAATCCTCATCAAATCTGTGCCAACACCGGTCTACAAGGTGGCCTATTTTTCCACAGAGTTGACATTGCATTTTTGATTTACCACGGCCTCTACCACCTGTTTGAGCTCCAGACCTTGAATCATAACCTGAGTTGGAACTTACTGAGTTGCGAATTTCCCCTTAAGCAACATTTACATTCATTGGTAAGGTTTCTAATTGATCTTCAAAACTGGCGAGTTGTGTTTCTGCATCAAGAATCATGGTGTAGATGCTATCCAAGGATAAAGACTCTTTCATTGAGGTTATAACAGCCATGAAGGGCTGGTATTCCCGTGGAAGGCCTTTGAGAATGCTTGTAATGTGCTCGACTTGAGGTATTGCACTGCCGCAAGAGGCTAAGGTATCACAAACCTCTTTCACCCGAGTAAGGTATATACGCATAGAGTCACCTCCTTTCTTTAGGGACTGAAGTTTATAGTGAAGACTCATCACTGCGGTAGTGGAGCGATTGGTGAAAAATTGAAGAACAGTGTTCCATACGGCTGTCGCAGTTTCAGCTCCAACAAACTGAGGAAGAAGATTATTGCTAATCGTTGATAGTAACCAGGAGGCGATAACACTATCCTGTGCTATAAACTCTTCATAGGCTTCATTGACTCGTGTTATGCCATCATCATCGACAGTCGTTTCAGGTGGAGTTGCCACAGCACCGGTGAGGAATCTTTCTAAACGATGGCTCTGAATTGTAAGCAGAATCTGTTGTTTCCAAAGCAGAAAATTCATCTCATCAAGAATGATATTTACTTTCTTGTGAGTGAACAACTTTGCATTGCCAGGAAACTCCATTGAAGGAAAACTTTAAGCAGCGTGGAGGAAGATCCCAAGATCTTTGGCGAGAGATACCATGTTGGAATGGTGATATGCAAAGAAAGCAGTATTTCTGGAAACTTGCTTTTCATTGCTGAATTACATTCAATTTATACATTGTGTGCAGCTGTAGCTAACTGATTCACTAACAGTTTTGCTAACAGACTGCTAACTAACTAACAACTGACCCATTTAGCTAATGCCACGTGTATAGTACAGTTACAGTCCGTTATAGCTGGCTAAGAGAAGATTTGTTTCTGCTGATGACTTGCTTCTGCTGGACTGCCAACACGCCACCTGGTGCCTCATGCTTTTGGCTGCCAATCAAGAATGGCAGCATATAATACGGAAGGGGGTTCTTGAAATCAGCAGGGGTCGTACTCTGGATGCCAACATGCTTCGCAAGATGAAACAGGTACATTATGCACATGACAGAATGATACTAACTAGATTATGGAACTAATCTCGGAATCCTTGTTCTGTGTAATGCAGCTTACATTGGTGATTCAGGAATCGTTGGAGGATATGAAGTTCGGCGAGATTTTGGTACCCAAGGGTGTAAATATCTGGTTTTTGGTGTTGGCATTGCACACTGACCTTGAACTCTGGGGTAAAGAGGCCTACACATTCGACCCAAATAGATTTGCGAAAGGGATAGCAGGTGCTTGTAAGCTGCCACAAGTGCCGTTTGGGGTCGGGCCACGAATGTGCCTGGGACAGAACTTGGCACTGGTTGAACTGAAACTAGTTATAGCTCTCCTTTTGTCCAACTTCTCCTTCTCCCTTTCTCCCAACTACAGCCCTTCTCCTGTTCTAAGGTTGGTGACAGAGCCAGAAAATGGAGTCCATCTCTTGGTAAAGAAGCTGTGATTCGAGTGTGCCTATTTAAACTATCGATTTAGTTGGTCTGTATGCATTTGGATAAAGAGATAAATTATAGAGTTATATGGATAAGATTGAACTGATGTTATTTAGTTTTGCATATATATGCTATTGCTGTTCGAATCAGATCCATCATCCATTAGCTATTGCTCTTCGAAAATCCAATCTTACAAATTCTATACCCGAAGATGAAATACTTGCTAGATATATTTAGAATTCATACATTTCAAATAGAATGTGTTTCTTAAAAGTGGATGTGGAGAGGGTAAGAGGTGATTTTTTTTTTCAAACACCGTGTATAGAATAATTATGGTAATTGTAATCGTTTTGCCTACCTCATTGGAAAAGAAATTGCAAGTTATACTTGGAAGATCTAAAGAAAAAGAAGAGGATTGGTTATACATGTTAATTTTTTTCTCCCACAAGTTCTTAGGTAGTAGATATTTGATATGGATCCCACTTTTATACAAATATGCAAATGTTCAAAAGGAATAGACAGAAAAAGACGAGGTTGACCTAAGAGTAGGCAATGGTGATTTATTTTTATTATTAAGAATAATACATATTCTTATATTTTGAATCTTTAAAACTTTAACAATTCTTTGATATATAACATAAGTAATAAGAGATTTAAATCTAATGATTTAAATCCAACCTATTTATGGTATTGTCGTACCATATAAATGAGAAACGCATTTAAAAACTTCATCAAGATAAACTTTTAAATTCATTTGATTTTTAATCATATGATACTTGTGAATCTTGTTTATTAGGTGAGATAACAAAAGATCCCCTTACTGGACACAATGAAAGAGACAACGAGTTATATACATACTAATGTATATAGACCTTTAACTTCAATTGCTACAAAAGGTTACAAATACTTCATTACATTTATTGATGACTTTTGTAGTTATAAACTAAAACTTCCAAATTTATAGTCCTCTTTAAATTCTTAAGTAAACACTTAAGATTTTCTCATATTCATTACTTGAATTGTGGGTACGTCTAATGTAATCAATTGTCCGGTAAAAAATAAAACTCTTTATAATTTTAGCATTTTCACAACATGAATCATTTAACTCAAATTTTATGCTAAGTTTAAAGAGAGTTATATAAGAAATCACTTCAATATTAAAACTTTTCTAAAAACACTTTTAATTAAAAAACGTATGCTAATAGTTTTTGTAGACACTCATTTTCTTCTGTGACTTATTTAGTATATATATTAATATTGTATTTTAATTTAAATAGATGTTAGTATTTAGGATATTATTTTAAATATCATTTTATTTTATCTTTGTTTTAGGTATTTTAGTTTAAATAGTTTTAAGTGTTTTAATTAGGATAAAATATATTATTTTAGGAATTATCTTTAGTTTGTTTTTAGGAATTTGAAGGCTATAAATATCTTCTCAGGGTAAGCCTAGAAAAACACACACATCTGAAAATAAAATCTTTTTTCTCTCTCTAGCTTTCTCTCTATTTTTTGCATATCATCTTTATTTTCTTTTAAATTTCATTCTCAAATATGCTAAGTATGACATTGGTCATGCTTAGCTAAATTTCTTTTAAGCCGAGGGCTAAAGCAAATGCTCAATTCTAAACGTGAGAATTGTAAGAAGAATTGACTTATTGAAACACATTCGAATTCATAAGAACACACTTAGCAAAATTGTTTGCTAAGAGGAAACTGAGATCGGAATCAATTATTGCTGAAATAACACAATCCGAGTTGGCAGCGAAGAATTGTCCTTGTAAGCTGACGTGAATTTCGAAGTAAAGATCTGTTTCGATGATCCGAGGAACTTGAGGTAAAGCTGAAGTCTAAGGCTGTTTTCACTATAAGTTTATCTTTATCTCAATCTCTTTAGATTATTTATTTAATTATTTTATTTTATTTAATTCTTATCTTTAATTTTTAAAAAAAACTTTTTTTAAAAAAAACCCTTTTTATCTTTACTACTATTATTTATTATATTTTCCTTGTATCTTCTTTAAAATTTAACACTTTTTTTATTTTGTTTTATTTTTATTTTCCCACTTCTTTTTTATTTTGTTTTTATTTTCTCTTTTAACATTTTTTCATATTTTATTTTTTTCTTTTCTGAAATTTAATATTTTCTTTATTTATTTTATTTTTTCTTTTAACATTTTTATATAACATTTTTAAAATTTAATATTTCCTTCTTTGATTTATTTTTTTCAATTTAAATTTTATTTGACATTTCTTTTATTTTAGAATCTAACGTTTTCAACTTTTTAGAGGTAATTTTAATCGATCAAATGTAAGTAATTAGAATCGAGTCTTTAAATTTTAATTTTCTCAATTAAGACAATCGACAAATTAAAATGTTACCGAAAGGGCAGTTCAAGGGTGCTAATCCTTCCTTGACTGTAATTGACTCCTGAATCCGAAATATTTTTAGTAAAACACAGATCATGTAAGATGGTGTTTGATCAACCTATATATTTTTTAAATGATTGGTGGTGACTCTAACATGTTTTATTCAAGTCGAAGCCCAATTCCAGACCCACCCGAAAGATGGCCACGACAGCTTGGCGACTCTACTGGGGACAAATAAGTGAGTCAGGCCATAATTATTTTTCGGTTGTCTTTATGCGAAAATAACAAATTTTAATTAATTTCAAATTTTAATTTTATTTTGATTAGTTTTTTCAAATAAATAGTTGTACTGACGTTTTTTAATAATTTTAGATTTTTAAAATTTTCATCTCTGGCTCTATACCCGAGCTCCAAACCCTTTTTAAGTAGAGGTGAAAGCGACGCCTTCATGGGAATTTATTCTCCGTGTAGGCCTAGCAAGTAACCTTCGGGATTCATATACCTTGTGTCTTCGTGTGAATTTATTCTTCTTATATACATAAGGGAATGTATCCTCTCGAGTTTAACTTAGTCCACATAAGCTTGTAATGGGCTTAGGACTGAGGGTCTGGCAAGCCCAAGGGGGCACTAGCAAGGAGAACTCGAGTACCTTCTTTAGAACCTAAACTGGGATATTACAGGAAATTAGAGACCACCCCAAATCTTCATTTCAAAACCTAGGCTGTATGGAGTTATTTCTTACTTTATTTTCTGTTCAGAGCATGTGAACTAGAAGTTTATGTGGTTAGGACTTGTTCACAATTAACATGCGGGATAGATATCATGTCCGGGTAGGAATAACAAGCATGTGGTGTAAGACTTTTTTTTCATTATTATTTTAATTATTATCTTTATCTCACTAACTTTTTTCCTTTCATTTTTTTATTTTATTTTTTAATCATTTACATAATTTAAAAGAGGTGTTGATCCAAAAAAACGTGTTCGTTAAATGTAAATAGTTTGCATTAATGGACAAAAGGATTGTAATACAAGAGGTGAAAAACGTAGAGGTCCGACTATGGTCAGAAAAGACTCAGAAGAAAAGGGAGACAATCTGCAGGACAACCATGTGTCACATTCAATCAAGAAGACGTGGTGCCCACAATCAAATAATATACCACTCTATTGCATTGTGAAGGAATCATAATGGACTAGGCTTACACCAAGTCATCAAAGTCCACTTTTTAAAAATAGGTTGACAAAGGTTGTAGGGGCAGATGAAAAAAAGGTTACTAACATGGAGAGGTCCCTTCAAAGACAACGAAAAACAGGATGGAAAAACCATAGCTGAGTTAGAGGCCATTGTGGACGGGTTCAAGAAACAAGCAAAGGAGTTTCATATAGTTCCTTTTGATGGAGGATTTCAGTGCATTTTTGTTTGGAACAGGCCCAGTAAAGGTGAAAGCTAGAGATGCAGTTATCCGAGATTTCCTGGAACAATTACAAAAAGCAGCTCGTCACTTGCACGGTTTAGCAAGGGAAGCGGGAGTGGTCCAACAAGTTATTCAACCAGTGACAGATGAAGGAAGAAGACTTGTCAACCTATTAGAAGCCGTTCGAGGTTTAGAAAATTTAGTCAGAATGTACCTTTAAGATATTTTTGTCTCTTAAAAAAATAAAACACTTTTGTCTCAATAAAGATTATTTATAATATCAAACATGTTTCTGGATCAATGCCCCTAATTCTCATGCATCATTCATTATTTTCATACCTTGCATTTCATTTTTTTTTATTTTCCATGTTTTTACATTCGCGTTAACTAACAAAAAATGTCTCATCAGAAGAAGGAACAAACACTGGACATTCCACCTCAAGCATTGAACGCATCCTCATAACACTCATTCAAAGAAGAAGGAGATCAAAGCAAAGAACACTTGTAACTGTTGAAAAGAAAAGGAAAATAAAAGAGAAGATTTGAAAGCAAATTGAAGTTACCTGGAGTATGTCTATAGAAAAATCAAAAACGATGAATGAGATATTAGCGGGTGTTGGTAGGATTGAGAAAATTCAAAAGCAACTCGTAAAGACTCAATAGGAGATGATCGATCAAGTTAAAAGGTTTCAGAATGAATCAAGAGAACAAATGACCAAATTAATGGACATGGTGAATGTTATGATCCATGGAGACAAGCCACTAGAGCATCCCGTTTTGGATGTAATTATGAATGCTAGTGTTAAAACTAAAATGGAAATGGTAAGTAATCGAGGACCTGTTACGGAACCAGATATTTTAGGCTAGCTCCAAAAATCAAATGTGGTTGTAGAGGGTTCCACTGGACCAACAATGAATGAAGAACTAGAGAGGGATAAAGTTTCCCTTGTGAGGGATAAGCTTTACTCAAAGAGAAGGGGCATAAAAGAGGACCAAATGCTGGTCAAGAAAGCTAAGAAGGATCCATCTCTCATGATTAGAGGTTCTAACCCTTTACAATCATCCAGTCAAGACAATAAAGCCATCACTAAGTAGCCTCTCGTCATGGGGATTAGATGAGAAGAAAAAGAATGTGCAAGGTTTTCAGTTCCATCCCTTCCACTTTTCACTTGAAAAATTATATTAAAAAATGCTCGCACCCGGATTGGTTACGCTAGGATATGTCCAGCCACAGTTGCCCCCGAATGAGAAGTAGACCTATAATGAGATTTCTTGGCTAAACCATAATGGAACCCCATATTGTTCAGTTAAGATTTCTAGCAACCTTGAGGGAAAATTCCAGGATCCTTTAGAGCAAGCAATTCCTGTG